TCTCTGGATGAAAGTAAAATAAGTTAGTGGTTGGGTGCACCAAGCCTGAAGCCTTAAAGAATAGTCCTTTCATCGGATGGTTTCTTATTCAAGAAGATAATTTTCAAGGTTGGCAACTACGTAAAAGAAAATGTAAAGGAAAACAATGGGGCCCACCATTTTGTCTTCACATGAGTTCCATGGGACCCACCATTATTTTGTATTTAAAGTTCTTTTATTATGTAAAAGACAAGATCTATATCCTTTCCTATTTTCTTTATAATTTTGTTATTAATAAAATTTATTCTAAATGGATTTAACTAAAAAAAAGGATTGGAACTCAATTGGATCAAATTGAATGTTAAATTCATAAAATTTTATGTTAAATTGATAAAATTGGTTGTCTGTATGGTGTTAAATTTATGAAACTATAAATTGATAGCTAATTTATTTTTAATTTGATGAAATTTAATTTAATTGAATGAACTAAATGTTAATTTAGTGTTTATTTAGATGAAATTAAATATTAAATTTTAGAATTTCAATGTTAATTTGACAAAATTGACAATCAATTTGGATTTATTTGGATGAAATTGAATTTTAATAAATAAAATTGAAGGTGAATTTAGTATTAATCTAATGAATATGAATTTTAAATTAATAAAATTGAATGTTAATTTGAGATTAATTTGATGAATTAGATGAAAATAAACACTAAATTCATGAATTTTAATGTTTATTTAATAAAATAGGCAATCAATTTGGTGTTAATTTTATGAAATCAAAGCTTAATAAATAAAATTAAAGGTTGGTTTTATATTAAATTTGGTGAAAGTGAATTTTGAATTAACGAAATTTAAAAATTATTCAATTTTAATTTGATAAAATAAAATATTAATTTGAATGTTGTAGCTTTTTAGTATTGCTAGCATTATTTGAAATATATCAAAATTATTATTATTATTTCTATTCAAAATGTTTGTGATCTATCCCAAAAGCTTGAGATCTATTGCAAAGTTGCAGTTGTTTCCCCCCAAAAGTGGTTTTCCTCGTTTAAATTGGGAAACTTAAAGGGAGAACTCAAAATTAAAATTTAATTTCATCGAATGTTAATTTGGTGTTTATTTGAATGAAATTAAATTTTAAAATTTGGAATTTCAATGTTAATTTGATAAAATTGACACTCATTAAATTCATGAATTTTAATGTTTATTTAATAAAATAAATGGTCAATTTGGTGTTAATTTTATGAAATCAAAGTTTAGAAATAAAATTAAAGGTGAATTTTTTATTAATTTGGTGAAAGTGAATTTTGCGATCAATCCCAATTATTATTTTTGAGAATATATCGCAATTATTATTATTTTTTTATCTTCAAAATATTTGCGATCTATTGTAAGATCTTGTGATCTATCACAAGGTTAAAGTAGTCTCTCCCAAAACTTTTTCAAAAATAGTAGGTTTGTGATCGATCACAAATATATATATATGATAGATCACAAGTTAATATAGTGAGATTTAGCAAAATTGTGAGCAATTTACCACAATTAAGAACAAATTTACCATTTTTGAGGGGTCAATTTACAACAATTATTAATAAATTTATAAGTTTTGAGGTTAATTTACGACTGTTTGTATAGTGGTTAAATTTTGTCCACTATTGTAGTAATTTTATCCATTAATTTAGTAACTTTTTCATTGATGTTGTAATCTTATCCTCTATTGTTATAAATTTTTCATTGATATTGTAAATTATTGTGGTAATTTTGTCCACTGCTGTTGTAAATTATACTAATGTTGTAATTTTGTCAATTATTGTAGTAAATTTTTCACTGATATTGTAATTTTGCTCTCAATATGCAACTACTTGATTGATCAATCAATATCAGTGATCGATCACAAACCCACTGAATATAGTTATGGTATTTCAAATGATGCTTATAGTTTGCCCACTATTGTAGTAATCTTGCTAATTACTATAATAAATTTTTTTATTGATCTTGTAATTTTATTCATTATTGCTGTAAAATTTTCACTGATATTGTAATTTTTTTACTATTGTGGTAATTTTATCCACTACAACTGTAAATTTTTCATTGATGTTTTAATTTTTGCCACTATTGTGATAATTTTGTCCACTACTATTATAAATTTTTCATTAATGTTGTAATTTGTTCACTATTACTGTAAAATTTTCACTAATGTTTTAATTTTGCCCTCAATGTGCAACTACTTGATCAATCAATTAATGTTAGTGATTCCCACATAATGTAGTTCTTGTACTTCCAATAGCAGTAAAAGTTTGCCTATTATTGTAGTAATTTTGTCAATTACTGTAATAAATTATTCATTGATATTGTAATTTTATTCACTATTGTTATAAATTTTTTATTGATATTATAATTTTACCCACTATTGTGATAATTTTGCCTGGATAAAATTTTCACTAATTATGTAATTGTGTCCGTTATTATTATAAATTTGCTATTAATATTATAATTTCACCCTTAAATGACTTAATTGTAACTTTGTACCGAAATATCCCATTTAGGTACCGCAGTCAGGTCCAACGAAGAGAGACCAAAGATGAGACAGATATAAGAGAAACTTGACAGTCGTAAAGAAAAAGTTACTTTCTACGGTTTTTAAAATTTAAAGGAGCCCAAAAGTTTTAGTAAATATGTGACTACCCTTAAGTTTAAAATTTTTTCAGTAGGGTCAATCTCCACAGTGTTCTAAACTTTCAAAAAATTTAAATTACTCCCCAAAAATTTCAAAATTATATATACCCAGACTATTTAAATCGTAATTAGTGTATTCATGAAAGATAAATCTTTCACAAATAAATAATCAAAAAGAATTATTGGAATTCACTTCAAAGTTATTAACGAGGTTTTTGACAAATTTTTGGATACCCAAATTTCTTTTAATCTATTTTTAATTTTTCTTTTGAATAGTAGATCATATATCACCTGCTAAAGAGAGGCACAATCGAATATAATACATACTATCCACGTTAATGATAGGTAATCTACCATCAAAGAACCTTTAATGTATAATTGGGACCATCCAAATCCAAACATTCATCAAATTTTACTTTTATTATTGAAACATTTATACGTTTGCTTAGTTTAAAGATACTCAGCACACATTTTCAGTGGATTAAGATTCTCTCTCCTATTCATTTCAAATTTTTTCTCTTTAAATTTTCCTACATTGGTTTAGTGAGAAACTCACTTATATCCAATTAGTCTCGTTTGAATGCATATTGGTGGTGAGTGTTGCACAATTGAGCAAAGTTGTGGTCTTTAAGGGTTAGAGAATCACTGGATGACCCAATCAGAGCTCCTAGGCTCTTAAGGCTCCTAGGCTCTTAAGGATTGAACAAATGGTTAGGAATCACAATCAAAAGGTTTATAGTGGTTCATCAACTTGGAAGTTTAGCTAATCCACTCTTAAATAATTTTTTTGCTCCTAGAAAAATATTTATTAATAAGGAGAAAGATTACACAGAATATTAGTACATATTAATTGCGTGAACGTTGTTGTGAAGGGTATGCCTCTTATTTATAGCCTTCTATGGTCTTGTTTGATTTTCAGGCGTGTTCCTTGTTATTCTCTTGTAACGAATGCGTCTTTTACGCAGTCACTGTAGGTGATGTTGAGGTAGTTGCGACTTTCTTACCTAAATGTTGGACCGTTGCGATTTATTCACAGTATTCTAGTGGGAACCAGTTGTCATCTTTGTCGTGCCCATACGATGTCCTTGTTTGTTGGAGGCCCTCGGCCTGAACACTTTTGACTATTCACCATGAGCTGCGTGGTTCGAAACCAGATTATTGAGATGAATGTCTGAGTTCAACCTTAGTCAATTTTTAAGTATCATTACATATAGTTGTAGATCTACCAAATAGAAAAATAGAAAAAATTATATATTAAAGGTGATCGCACTCCCTTCAGAGCTTTAACAAATGTGAATCAAAGAGCTGACGTGAAATTCAACTAACACTTTATTCGAATAAGAAATATGAGTAATATTATTGAGATATCAAAATTTAACTTTATTTATTGACTTCATAAAGTGATAATAATATAATTTAATAGTTTTATCGTGACCGTAACTATTGAACTTTTCAATAAAACTATATTACTTGACACATCATAATGTCGGTAAATTAAATTAATATTTTTAGGTCTCAATTGCATTATTTAAAAATTATATAGAGTTTGAAGGGCATAAATCATATTGCGTTCCTTGTCATGTTTCCACTAATTATTTGAATGTCTTTTTCCGTATTATATAAGAAGAACGTGGTGCACGGGATTCCTTGGGAATAAATAAACCAACTTCTCTGTCATACACCTCAGCAGCCACCATTCTCAACCTAATATAAGTATCGCTAATACTTTTGAGACTAAATTTAGAACTTAAATGATATGACAGTTGACTTAAACTTCTTTATTTGATGTTATATCATTTGAGACTCAATAAATACTCTAAATAATATGTTGTCATATCATTTGGGTTCTAAATTTGATTCCAAAATTTTATGAGCGTAGGCGAATTGCATTTTACATAGTAAAAATGTATAAATTCTCATTTTAGACTTTTAAGGATCAGATTTTTTATTATATATTTTCAATATATTAAAAGTGTTATAATGTGTTTATCCCGTTAGTTTTCATTACTCATTCTGTTAACGTTAATAGTGTAATTTTTAACGGAATAAACAACAGAAACTAACATAAGAATAACATTGCAACAATTTAATACATTGAGGGTATAATATAAAAAATTTAACTTTTCAGGGTACAAAATAAAAAATCTTAAATTTTTTGGGGGTGAAAAGTAAGATTCCCCTAATAGTAATACATGCATGCTGCGAACAATCCAGTGGTTAGTTATAGATATTAGATATAAATGCAGAGGCATATTTGTAACTATAGATATAGATGCCGAGCAGTTACTTAACCGGAGAAAAAAAAAATATACAGAGAATTGCAGATTTGCAGCAGCGAAAATGCCAACAGTGAGAAGAGTGAAGCTGGGCTCACAAGGTCTGGAGGTATCAGCTCAAGGACTGGGTTGCATGGGCATGTCCTCCTTCTACGGCCCTCCTAAGCCCGAAGCCGACATGATCACTCTCATCCACAATGCCATCGACAGTGGCATTACCTTCTTCGACACTGCCGATGTCTACGGCCCTCACACCAATGAAGTTCTCCTTGGCAAGGTACTTCTGTTACCATTCTGATTAGTTTTAATACGTTATGTTTGGAGGGAATTATTTTTTCTCAATCTAAAATGCCTCAACTGGATAAATTCATTTATTTCACATAATTCTTCTAGTCATGCCTTTTCTTCTTTATGCATTAGGTAAGGTAAGAGAAGAATCGATATCCATTAGGTAAGGTAAAGGGGTTTTTTCTTACTTATAGAGGTTAAGAAGCCGATTATCTTACCGTCATGTGTTTACTGTGTCAAGATAAGACGCTCATTCTTTTATCTTATAATCTTTCGTCTTTGCATCTTATCTAAGGTTTAGAGCAATCTATAATGTCTTATGATTCCTTCTATATATGTATTTTTTCATAGAATGTGTCACTCCCAAAGTGATAAAGGGGCAAGTTTTTACAAATCTATTGGCCCATTAAAAGACGCTATCGAGCTTTCTGAAGAAATTCTTGGCGAGATAGAACAGATTGCAACAATAGAAGAAGAACAATGGACCTTATTCTTTGATAAAATTTTCAAGTTCTTTCTAACCTTCGACTCTATAAACTTGGATGGCTTGCTTGCTTGTTTAGCTTGCCCCCTCTTTGCAAGTGTACAATTCAAGCAAGCAAATGGCTAGCAGGGCCGAGGAACCTCAATGAATAGGATGAGAGACGTCCTGCTAGCTCAAATATGGTACTCTATAGTACTATATCTAAAATCACTACCGAAAAAGAGCTCTCTTTTAGGGCTAGGGAGTTCATTTAACTTTAGACAAGTCTAACAAAGGAACTCATCTAGTAACACGGTCATCTGTCCAACCTCTATCAATCCCTCTATCAATCGGTCTTTTCTCTTTCAATCGCTTGAATCAGTTTAAGATTCTGACTCATGTGATAGATAAGTTTCAATACTTTGTGTGCTAAACTTCACCCCTTCAAGAGCTCCGCTAGTTAACATATGAGAGTAGTCTATCGTATAGAAGAAAGAGTCTATTCCTAATTGATTGAGTATGAAACTGTTATAATTAGCAAGCGCCAATTCATTCATTAAAGAAAGATTTGTGCAATCACTATCTGAAATTTGAATTGAATGAAGGTACAAAATAAATAGGTGCTTGAGCCGAAACTCTCGCGTCAGCTAGATCATCTTATACTGTTGCAAAGGATAAATGCTTCCGAGTTGAAAAGGAAAGGTAGTGAAGCTAAAACAAATATGACAAGCAAATCCTCATAAAACCTTTTTAAAAGCCTTCTTGATTAGTACAAAAGGCTTGTTTGGGGCTTTGATGCGTAATGGCCGCCAAAAGTCTCCCACATGGGCCTTACTCAAAGAGTAAAATTATTTATCACCACCATATATATATAATTTAGGATTGACTTTTTTTCACTCAATTTAACTTCAGAAAATAATTAATCCCGACCATATGTGGTTGAGGATGAGCTATTAAGGATAAGTCTATGATACTGCAAAATAAATTTTTTTGGCGAGGTAGTTACAATCTCTTATGGTGTTTCAAATGAATCCTAAATGTTATGATCAATTTTAAATTTGTAGGATCGATCTCCAACAGCCCAAACAATTGTCACTAATTAATCACAAAAGGGTAAAACTTTAACCACAATGATGATGAACTTAGGTCTCGTATCTATTTCAAATACAAAAGTCAAATATATTTGTAAATAAAGATTCTAACATGAATTTTGATCTGTTGGATAATTTATCTTAATTGAAGTTGAGTGAAAATGTATCAAAACATCTGAAGTACTCGTAATTTACATAATGGATGAAACTACTTGGATATCGATGAATTGACCCCAATTTTTTTTTTTTATTCATAAACAAGGCTTTGAAGGGAGGGAGGAGAGAGAAGGTGCAGGTGGCTACTAAATTCGGGATCGGGTGGAAGGAGGGGAAGATGGAAGTGCATGGTGATCCGGCGTATGTACGGGTGGCCTGCGATGCTAGCTTGAAACGGCTTGACATTGATTGCATAGATCTCTATTACGCCCATCGAATTGACACTCGTGTGTCCATAGAAGTCACGGTTTGGCCCCTTCTTCACATTTGAGTTTATCTTCATTTAAATTTGTGTTTATTTATTAGCGTTATTTATATAAAATTAAGTTGTTCACTCAAATATTAACATAAATTTGAGTCATTGTTGGAGATGCTCTTCATGTGTAAACAAGAATTTATAAGGGGATAAATTGCACTATGATCCCTGAAAATTTTCATTTGTCACACTTTGATCAATAAAGTTTAAATTGTCAATCTAATTCTTAAAGTTTAGAAAATGAGACAATATAGTCATTGGCACTAACATTGTTTTGAAGAAACGGAATAAAGATATTATATGCCTATCATGTGGAACTAGTAAGGGTCAGTTTGTTTAGTAAAAAAATACAAGAAAGAGAAAATTTTAAAATTTTACATGCTTTTATTTAGCTTGAAATAGAAAATGATAGAAAAAATATTTTTCTCTCACTTTTAAATTTTCTCACATCTAACTAATTTTTTTTTATGGCAAAAAACACAAGCAAAAGCAAAAAAGTTGTATTCAATACCTTACCTTCCCATTTTACCCTTATTTTTCTTAAAATATTCAGTTAGTTATTAATTTTAAAAAAATGTGTACAAATTAGGTTAATCATATAATTTGATTTAGAGATTAAAGTTCGAGTTGTTTTTTGTTCCTGAATTAGGTTAGGAGTCAATTTTTTTAAAATTTGAATGATAAAAAATATGTTTTTCTTCTTTAGATCGAGTTAAAATATTTAAGGATAATTTAGACAATTAGAAAAAATTTCTTATAACTCTTTTTTTTTTCAAACAATGGAATGAGATTGTTTTAAAATTTTCTTAGAAGTTTTTCATGCTAATCAAATACATGCATGAAAATATATTTTCTTTCATTTTCTTTTCTTTCACTTCACTTTCTACCTCTTTCACTTTCCATCATTTTTTTCTTGCTAACCAAACGGACCCTAAAGGGTATTCGTTGTAATTTGCTTATTTGCTACAACCCTTGCAATATAGCCTTTGGCATTCACTATTCACTATTTTCTACCATCCAAAACAACTTGGTCAATGGAAAATCAAAATCCTCACTCAAGAATTAAAATGTCATTTTGTTTTTCACTAAATCGATTTAAATTTTTGGTTTTGGCAAAAATCAAAATGAAACGGTGATGGGACATTAGAATTCTTATGTGTTTGAAGATGTTTCGGGATATTTTGGCTTAGCTAAATTGAAATATTTCAGAATTAAATTCTAATTTTCGCTCTATTTTTGTTATATTTTTTAAGATGCTTGTGAAACATTTTCAAGTTGTTGTTTCCATTCCCAAGCTAATCGAAACTATGAGAGTTGTTTAATTTTAATCCTTGTCCTCACTAAGTAATGGTAATTATCTAATTCACTATTTACCATTGTAATCTTTAGCTATGAGCCACAAGAGTCATCCATCGATGGCATTGCATTCAAAATTTAGCGTTTTTTTGTAGCAATATGCTTTTATGGAGTTCTAAAACCATTTTGCATTCCCTCTCTCTCTCTCTCTCTCCTCCTGCTATATAATTTTTTTCATTCTATTTTTAAATAATGCATCAGTGTTTTCTTGTTTGTATCTCTTTTCAGTTATCAAGTTTCCTATTGAGCTTTCCTAATCCTTCTACTGACATTTTTGCAAGATGAATGAACTTAAGAAGCTGGTTGAAGTGGGTAAAATAAAATATATTGGTCTATCGGAGGCCTCTGCCACAACAATTAGAAGAGCTCATGCTGTTTATCCTATATCAGCCATTCAGCTGGAGTTGTCCTTGTGGACAAGAGATGTGGAGGAAGAAATAATTCCTACCTGCAGGTGATACATGAAATATATATTCTTGGGTAATTCTACAGTACCGAAATTTAATGCTTTTCAAGACCTAAACTACACATTTTAATGGTAAAGCTTACAAATATTTGAAGTAAATCTATGACCGATCATGAATACTTCTAATCAATTGTAACTTTACTTTTAAAGGTGTAACTTTACTTTTAGAAGTTGTAACTTTTATGATTAATCATGACTTTTTCAATTGTAACTTTTATTTCAAAAACTTATAAATTTCGGTAATGTACCGGCTTCGGTAACATAGTCTTCCTCTACCCTCTTTTATAGGTGAGGCACTCTCTTGTGCTGTCTAGTATGTTTAGAAGTAATAAGCTAAGTTAAATTGAACCTTGACCCCCCTAACTATTACCTATGTCTCACATTGCTCCCTCAACTATCATATTTCTTACACTGCACTTGAAAAATGGTTATAAATTTCACATTGCCCTAGTGATTGATGCAAATCAATTCAAGTAGTTGAGAAAACAATGTGAGAAACTCAAAGAGTAAAAAGAGATCAGAGTCGTATTTGAGGGTCAAATTGTTATTTTTTTCAATAAATTATCCACAAATTTAATTTCATCCATCTTGATTAATTTCTCCAGAGAACTCGGCATTGGCATTGTTGTATACAGTCCTCTAGGACAAGGATTCTTCTCCTCAGGTCCCAAGGTTGTTGAGAACTTGTCTAAGGATGATTTCCGAAAGGTTTGTGAATAACCTACAAGCATTTTGATTTTCAGTTTCAAGAACAAAGTATTTGTTGTAATAGATTTTGTTAAGTCGTCGCTATATAATGCACTAACATAACTTTGCCTTTCGAAGAGTATAAATTTTTCACTTTGTCCTTTCAAGGATATGTCACAAATTTCTTTAGACAGAGCAATTAAAGTGCTTCGCCAAAGTAACCGGCCATTGTATACCTCCAAAACTCTCGACTTTTGACAATTGATTTTGAACTAAACACAACGTGAGAGTTTGATTTTAAGTCTCTTGTGTTTGTACCACTAGTTCAATCTGTTATGTCTTAGGTTCTTATATCGACTTTTTCACGTGTAAGCGGATATTACATGCACCAAGTATGTTAAAACTTGTTTAGTATCGATATAATTGCACCTCCTAAAAGTATGAAACTTTCTGCGTCCCTCCACAAACTTTCTAAACAGCACTCACTGGTCAATGGTGATTTTCTCTCTTTCTAATTGGTGAATTGCTTTCTGTTTTCATATGAGTATTTAATTCTTCACACTCACTATGTCTAGCATAAGGTCTACACATCCTATAAGTAAACATGGTTAATGTTTAGCAGCTCCTTTATGGCTACAAGTTTCTATGCTAAAATTTGAATTTCATCTCTTAATTTTTAGCTTCTTCCACGGTTCCAACCTGGAAATCTCGAGCATAATGGAAACGTATTTGATCGAATAAACGAAATGGCAGCAAGAAGGTCATGCACACCATCACAGCTAGCTCTGGCATGGATCCATCATCAAGGCAACGACGTATGCCCGATTCCAGGCACGACGAAGATCGAAAACCTCATCAAGAACATTGGAGCTTTATCAGTAAAGCTAACACCTGAAGAAATGGCTGAACTTGAATCCATTGCTTCAGCGGATGCCTTTAAGGGTGACAGATATGGAGGCATGTCGGCTACATGGAAGGATTCTGAGACTCCACTCTTGTCTTCATGGACTGCTAAGTAAGGTAATGCATTTTTCATTGGCTTGTTAATGCATTCTTTGGTTCTTCTAAAACTTTGTATGTCCTTACTTTGGAATGGTTTTGTATTTCTAGAGGATAACTTCAATTTGTTTTTCTGATTTTCTTTATAACCTAGAATCGTCTCAACCACATATCGTTTAGACTCGTGGTTACAACACAAATTTCAGATATGTGCAATCACAAGTAAACTATGCACATATGGTCAACCAAATTGTCTCTTGCCAGACTCAAACACCTAGCCCTAAGGGTTTTTGTTATTCTGATAAATCAGATGATGTAGACAGAGTGTCAAAGTATTTTCAAAATACAATTTTTTTTGGGTGATTTATTTTTGAAAAATTCTTTGTGACTATTGAGAGAAATTGAAAAAGATGTGAAATAAAAATGACATGAAAGGTTACTAATTCAAACTTAATGACTTTTGGTTAAAGACACCATTACAAATGGTTGTAACTTTTTATAAAATCACCATTGATACCTTTTGAACCAATATACATCATATCATAAGGCTGCACTTTTTATGAAAAGTCACTAGTAGATTTATAAATAGGTGATGCTTAACAATCCAAAAGATATACCATTGAAAAATCTAGTACTTCCTACTAGAATTGTTCTCTCATTCTTCTTGTCTCTCGATTCTCCTAAATTCACACACACACACACACACACACACATATATATATATATATATTCTTCTTTTATTCAATCTAATATTCTATTTTCTAGAGAGTCAGAATATTAGAAAGTTGGTTATTTAATTTTCTTAAGGTATTTAGTTACCGTCTTTCATATGTAAGTGTAATACACAGACAGGTGAGAAGTTTCATTATATTTTGAAAATAGATTTGTGGAATTTCCGATGTATACCTTTCTAAACAATTGAAGGGGGGGAGGGGGCAAATACTATTTTTAGGAAAGTGTCATAACTTGAAGTAATTTTCAATATTACGGTACAATTTTTACGATTAAATTTTCAGCGGAGTGAGAACCCATACGTTTTATTCAACATAGAGAAGCTGAAACCAAAAGAACTAGACAATTGATATGTAACTGTAATTTCAAACATAATCTAAATATCCTAAATCCATGAACTTCCTGAATCTTCGATCTTTCTGAAAATGCTGCTTTGAGAAACGTTTCTTTTTCTCCCCGGAGTGCAGAACAGAATACTCCTGTAGATTCTCGCGCGTTCAATTTGAACTTTGAATTCTTAGTTCCTTTAATGTAAGGTTAAATTTCACTCACACCCCATATAAATAGGCATAATTTCAACAATATCTCTTTTTTCTTTGAAAAAAATTTCACTACACCTTTTATCAGCGTTTGTTGAGTGTAAAGGGCTATTTTATTGATTTGCCTTTGTGTTTTATACTATTTCACTTATCAAGTTTTCTCATGTCTATGAATAACTCGTATCCGAAGATGCGGTGTAATATAAGTGGGAAGTGATTGAGGGAGAAGAAATTCAAATTGAATGATTTTGAGAGGGATGTTAGTGGTCATTGAATGAATTTATTTGAGACCGTTATATGAACTTATTGATATCTGCTTTATTTTATAATATATATATATAAAATAAAGTAGCTTTATAATTCAAATTTCAAAAGATAAACAAAATAACTTTTACTTTTCGCGGTTCAGATCGCTTTAAATTTTACCACAAAGTTAATTTAATGGCTAATATTAACACTCTAAATTTAATAGGAAAAATAGGTCTTTAAGAATGAGTTTAGATTAACTTTTAAAAGTACTTTTATGAATTATTTATCATAAGTATTTTAAAAAAAATAGTATTTGAAAACGCTCAACCACTACCTTTACCACCACCCACCAGCATCACCACCACCGCCACCATCACTGTCGCAGCCACCATCACCACCACCACGGTCATTGCCACCCACCACAACCATCACCATCTCCTACCACCACCACTGTCGCCCACCACCTCTCACCCTCACTACAACCGATATTTAAATTCATTTATCTCTCCTCTATCTTTGTGATTTAATTTTGAATATGAATAAAAATATGTTTATCATTTACTATTTTTTATTACTTTGTGCCTTCAGGCACATGTAATAACTAATATATATATATATATATATATATAAGCATTAACAATAACCACGTACATAAAGACAGTCTATAGTACCAAAAATAGAATATTGATTATCTAATATTTATATTTTAAATTATAATTTTTTATTATATAATTTAAAATTAAAGTGATCAGAGATAGAATAAAAGATAAATATGAGGGAGAAGAAAGAGGTAGATATGAATTAATAGGGTTATTTGACATTCAGGAGGGGTGTTGGTTTTTGAGATCGTGCAAAGAAGATGGTATTTTTGAGCAGTAAATATAATTTTAGAATGAATTTTGTATTATTAGATTAAAATGGATAAAATTAGATCAATTTGTACTGTTATTATTTTTTTATAAGTTAAAAATTCAATTTTCTAGTTGTAATATTATATACCAACACTAATCTTGTGCATGAAGACATTCTCTAATACTCAAATTTGAACACTGATTTTGCAATGTTTCTGCTATGATGTGATGCCAATTTATCTTCTTTACCGTTTTGTTCCATCACTTGATATTAGGCTCAAAGATTTAGGGCTTTTTGCTGGTCAACTTCATTTTCATTTGGGTTCCCTTTCTCTTTTCTCTTTTTCATGTTTGCCTCGTGTTTTGATTTTGATATTATCTATGGTGGATTTTGTTGGCATCCTAGGATAGTGACGGTGGTGGCAGTTGGGGTTTAGTGTATCAATGGTGTGGTGGGGGATTCTAATTCAAGCGTGGGGGTAGAGGTAGGGTTGTTTAAAATTTCGTGCTTTTCTATTTGATTCTACATGATTGTTGAAATTATGTAAAATTTTGGCCGATTAATGGCAAAAATTTTAGTATTTCGCAAAATTGTGGGTAGTAATAGGAAATACTTATAAATTTTTTGCATTCCTACTTGATCTACAAATATATTTCAATTTTTTAAAAATATAATATATTTGTTATAAAACGACGTTGTTTTATATGTTTATATTATCGGAGTTGTGTTTTCTTTAGTGTTATTGGTTTATTGTGTTGATTTATATATTCTTATATTATATTTTAATAGCCTAATTGTAAAAGTAGCTCAAACAATTGGTAATTGAGTTATTAAAATGACCAAAATATTAATAACTTTAAAAATTAAAATATATAAAATATTTTGTATTTCTATCCGATTTTTTAGCCCTTTTTTTTTGATGGAATTTGACTCGGAACATTACCCTCGATCGGATAGTGTCGATCAAGAAATTGACCTTCCGCAATTCATCGGTTCAGAAGATAAAATTCAATATTTTCTATCCGTTGATTCGAGTGAACAGCCCTAAGCAGAAGGGGAAAGGTGAAACACAAATCGGAATTAGGGTGGGGGAGGCTTTGTACAGGGTTATTTGACAAGAATGTGGTCTGCAGTCATAGTAAGATTGACTGCAACATAGTAGTGATAGTCAATGTTACAAGCTTGGTTTTACGATACGTTCAAGAATGAGAATGAGTAGTGTGCGACAACAACGCTTGTGTTGTTCAATAGGTTTAAGCATGCTAGAGGCAAATTGATTCATTTCGTTACTATCCTCACTTTTGCATCCAAAAGGTCACTAATAAGAGGTGAGAGTGTTATTTTGATGCTCTACGGGATCTGAATGATTTGAGGGGAGGTTTCAAAGGGTTTGGGTGTAATTAATCTGAAAATTCTATAATATAAAATAGGATAATTTTCATAAATTTCATCGACGATCTCAAATAAACTCATCTAATAGTTACCAATATTCTACTCAAAACTATTCACATTACAGTACCCGAAAAAAAAGCTTACCCCTAGTAAATATTTTAAGATCTCATAATTTATGAATGGGAAAATAGGTGGGTAAAGCTTTCAAAAAGACCAAAAAGAAAGAAGCAACACATTTTTTAATGAGAATTTTATTTTGAATTTTGAAAGATTTATACATTTTTTATATTATACCATCAATATGTTAAAAGTGTTTTAATGCTGTCATTCAATTAGTTTCTTCTTTATATTCATCAATAACTACCCCAATTGACATAATAAGTACAGAAATAAATAGAATGATCATATTATAATTCTTTTAATATAGTGATAGTATAATGTGTAAAAATCTAATCTTTAAAAATAAAAATAAGAGAATTACACTTAGATCTCATAAAGTTTGTCACTTAATTACTTAAATCCCCTAACATTTAAAATATTACACATAGATTTTTAGGTTTGTACGTGCGTAATATTAAACATCTACCATCAATGTCTATTATATTCATCAGTAAATTACACTCAGTCATCTCTTAAATTTTTAGGTGTGTAATATATAAATCCCTTAAGTTTAAAATATTATACTTAAACAAAAATACTTCAATTAAAGATAATATATCACCTATTTTAAAATTTTCAATCAAAATTCATGTTCTATTATACGCTTTCCGTTCCTAAATATCGGTCGTTTTACACATTTTTTTTCCATAATATTTTTTCTTCCAAATTTACCCTTAATTTTTCAATGCATTAGATTTAGTGGAGACTAAGTGTCTTTCATATTCCTTTCCTTCACAATACGTATTGAATAAAATTATTTTAGTCTTGTGTAATTATTTTTTTTACTTATATTAAAGCTATTTA